TTAAAATCATGTATAACTCAGTGCCAGCTCCAGGCTGCTGATGGTCATTTAATATACTCATCGGATAAAGAGAGCCTGGTTCCATAGAAAGTAAACTAGACTTGAGGTCAAAAAGTATGAGATTTGATCTGTCTGAACTTTGGCAAGTTACTTAAACACTATGAGGCCTGGCTTTCCCAACTAAATGTTAGTGATAACAATAATATCTATATTGTCTGGATTTTGTGAGGGTCAAATAAGTAAGGATAAGAGAAGACTAAATGTTAAATAAAAGAAATTTAAAACATCATGTTTAAGCAAATATCACAGAAAGAATGGCAAATATTACAGAAAGATTATTGAAAATGTTATTGGTTAATAAAAAGATTTGCATAGCTCCCACTATACAAACACTCTCACAGGTAACCACTGAAAACTCTGGAAAAAATATAAAAAACAACTACCTAAAAGCACTCAAGAGCAAAGAAGCAGGCAAACATTGGAGAGGGGTCAACATTTGAGAGGAGGAATGGCACTGAATGAGGACAGATTCCAGTCAGCACACAGATTACACAAACTCAGAAAACCTGCAGTCTTGGGGCCGGCCCCGTGGCATAGCGGTTAAGTGCATGCACTCCGCTACTGGCGGCCCGGGTTCGGATCCTGGGCATGCACTGACACACCACATGTCAGGCCATGCTGACGCGGCGTCCCACGTACAGCAACTAGCAGGATGTGCAACTACAACATACAACTATCTACTGGGGCTTTGTGGAGAAAAAGGGGAAAAAAGGAGGAGGATTGGCAATAGATGTTAGCTCAGGGCCAGTCTTCCTCAGCAAAAAGAGGAGGATTGGCATGGATGTTAGCTCAGGGCTGATCTTCCTCACAAAAAAACAAAAAGAAAACTTGCAGTCTTAATGGTTTTAAGGCCCAGAGGACAGAATATGGAGTAACCACAGCAGCTGAAAAGTGAGGGTGCAAATCCTAGAAAGGAGTCAACATCCTCACTCCATATATTAACTCTTCCCAAAACTTAACTTCAAGCAGCACACTGAAGGCTAAGCAAATCAAGATCATTGAGAGTTCAGAGTTTAAAGTTCAACTTAACTGCTTGCTAAAAGAAAAATATATATATTCTACTGAAGAACAAACAGAATCAAGACGGTCTAAAATTCATCATTCATAATATCCAGGACACTATTCCAAATTAGTAGCCATATGAGGAAATAGGAAAATGCAAGCCCTTCTCAAGAGAAAAGGCAATCAATCAATGGAGAGCAATCCTGAGATGACCCAGATATTGGAATTAGCAGACAAGGATTTCAAAGCATCTATTATAAGTACAATCAAGGATATAAAGTAAAACATGCTCATAATGAATAAAAAGATATAAAATCTTAGCAGAGAAATAGAAACCATAAAAAAGAACCAAATGAAAATTCTAGAACATAAAAATATATCTGAAATTTTTTTTTAAATCCATTGGATGAGCTTAATAGTAGATTGAAGATGAATGAAAAAGTCAATGAACTTGAAGACAAATCCAATATCAAGGACAGAGAAAATAAATTGGAAAAAAAAATGAACAAAATCTCAGGGGTCTGTGGGATAATATCACTAGGTCTAATATATGTGTTAGCAAAGTCCAAGAAGAGAGAGAAAGTGATAGAAAGAATATGTGAAGAATAATGGCCAGAAACTTTCCAAATATGGTGAAAGACTAAAATTTACAAGTTCAAGAAGCTCAGAGAACCCCAAGTAGGATAAATACAAAGAGAAACTACACCTGTTAACACAGTAGTCAAATTACTGCAAACCAAAAACTAAAGGTAAAATCTCAAAACAGCCAGAGAAAAACAACAAATTACATATGGGGGACAATGATTTGAATGATCACTAACTTCTCATCAGAAACAACAGAGGCCAGAATTTAGTGGAATAATCTTTTTTTTTTTATTGTGGTAACATTGGTTTATAACATTGTATAAATTTCAGGTGTACATCATTATACTTCTATTTCTGCATAGATTACTTTATGTTCACCACCCAAATACTAATTACAATCCATCACCACACATGTGCCTAATCATCACTTTCGCCCTCCTCCCTCCCCCCTTCTCCTCTGGTAAACACCAATCCAATCTCTGTCTCTATGTGTTTGTTTGTTGTTGTTGTTATCTTCTACTTAGGAGTGAGATCATATGGTATTTGACCTTCTCCCTCTGACTTATTTCACTTAGCATAATACCCTCAACGTCCATCCATGTTGTCACAAATGGCTGGATTTCTTCATTGCTTATGGCTGAGTAGTATTCCATTTAGTGAAATAATCTTTAAAATGTTTAAAGGGAAAAAAAAAATGTGTCAACCCAGAACTCTATATCCAGCAAAAATACAAGAATGAAGGAGAAATAAGGACATGTTCAGATACAGGCAGAAAAAAAAGAATTCATCAACAAAAACCTAAACTACAGAAAAATCCTAAAAGAAGTTCTCTAGCCTGAAGGGAAATGACAACACATGAACATTTAAACCTTCAAGAAGGAATAAAGAGCACTTTCATTTTATGACTCAAAGTCTTTTGATCCATTATGACAAAGATTCTGACTCAAGTGCTGCTAGGTGACCCTACTTCTTTTCCCATCTTCACTCTCTCAGACACGCATGTATACACATAACACCATAAATGAAGAGATAGGGAGATAAACAATGTTGGGTTCACACATACGAGGATCATGTGCCCAGAGTAAACTACAGATTCCCTAGCTCCTACAAGAGTAAATGGTTCTTCCACGCTGCCTAACTTTCTCAAAGAGTAGCACAGGGGACATCTTATTGAGTTTTATATACTCTATGTAAGTATATAAATATAACCATGTCTGTTATTCAATATTTACTTGTTTCATTTACTATAAAATGAAAATTACAAACACTATAGTCAGCATTCTGAAAGATAGCTTGTCGGTTTCTGTAAATGCTTCAGTATGTAACTCTATTCTGGACTTGTTTTGTATCCACGACAGTACCTAGGAGGGTGCTGGGCACAGAGTTAGCACTCAACATTTACTTATTGTTTTCAAATAGCTTGATAGTTGAAATTTGTTGTATTCAGTAAGTTCACTCTTCTTTCCAAAAGCTATACAGTAGTTTTATATTAAGGTATAAGACTAAATGTGGAAATGGCAATTCTTTCTCTTGGCGATAGAGAAGGCTACTGTTTGAGGACTCGTTCATTAAGAAGTGACCCAAGGAAAATAAAAAGGAACTGAAAAAGAAAAAAAATTGATGGAAAAAACTTCATTATTTCCAGGAGTTCACTCTAATCCAATTGCCCTCCCTGTTACTCCTAGGACCAAAATTTACTTCTTGCTAAAGGGAATAATGCATAAAACTATTGAAATATGATTTACTTCAAGTCCTATTCCCATTTTTTAATTAGGTTATTTTGGGGGTTTTTTGTTGTTCAGTTGTAGTTCTTTCTACATTTTGGATATAACCCCTTAATCAGATATAGACATTTCCCCAAAGAAGATATACAAATAGCTAACAGGTATATGAAAAGATGCTCAACATCACTAATAGAGAAATCTAAATCAAAACCACCAAGAGATATCACCTCACACCCATTAGGATAGTCACTATCCAAAAAACAGAAAATAACCAGTGCTGGTGAGGATGTGGAGAAATTGAGACCCTTGTGCACTGTTGGTGGAATTATAAAATGGTACAGCCACTGTAGAAAACAATATGGAGGTTACTCAAAAGATTAGAAATAGAATTGCCATATGATCTAGTCATCCCAGTTCTGGGGATATATCCAAAAGAGTTGAAAGCATGATCTTGGAGAGATATTTGCAAACCCATGTTCATTACAGCATTATTCACAATACCTAAGAGGTGGAAGCAACCCAGTGATGGATAAATAGGGAAAATGTGGCATATACATACAATGGAATATCCTGGCACATACTACAACATGGATGAACATTGAGGACATTAGGCTAAGTGAAATAAGCAGACACAAAAAGACAAATACTGTATGATTCCACTTATATGAGGTATCTTAAGCAGTCAAATTCATATAAACAGAAAATAGAATTCTGGTTGCCAGGGGCTGGAGAGAGAAGGAAATAGGGAGTTGTTGTTCAACGGGAACAGTCTCAGTTTTGCAAGATAAAGTTAAAAGAGATGCATAACAAGGTGAATATAGTTAACACTACTACCCTGAACACTTACAAATGGTTAAGATGGCAAATTTTATGTTTTCTTGTCTTCCTCTTTCCCTCCTTTCCCTTTTCCTCTACTCAATTTGTCCCCAACTCAAAATATATGCACCGAACCAAGACAACAGAGGAAAGAAGAAGGAGTGTTTTGCTCTCCTCTTCCTTTTGCAATTCTCCACAACAGGTGCATCAGTTTTTGTTCAGGAACAATGAGGAAAAAGTTGGAGGGAAGCTCAACTCCAGCCTCCTAATTATGGGAACTAGACCACTTCTTCCAATTCAGGCTCCAGATGGCAACTCCACCAGGCAATAGGCAAGTATATCGGAATACCCAAGACCTTCAAAACCAAATAAGAAATTAATTTAAATAATAAAAATATTATTATGCTCGGGGCCAGCCCAGTGGTGTAGCTGTTAAGTTCACACACTCCACTTCCTCGGCCCAAGGTTCACGGGTTCAGATCCCAGGCATGGACCTACACGCTGCTTGTCAAGCCATGCTGTGGCGGCGTCCCATATAAAGTAGAGGAAGATGGGCACGGATGTTAGCCCAGGGCCAATCTTCTTCAGCAAAAAGAGGAGAATTGGCAACCGATGTTAGCTCAGGGCTGATCTTCCTCACACACACAAAAATATATATATATTATTATGTTCTCTCACATTCATAATTAATGTACCAGAACTGATCTCAAATTAAACAATGCAAATATAAGAAACACACAAACATACACAAAACGTTTTCTTTACTAAACAATGAAACAAAAAATAAGAAAACATACATCTTAAGTGAATAGCTTATTCCATAAGGAAATATTTCATTCTACAGTCTCTTTGAACTGACTGTCCATCAATCTCGTCAGGTTTTGTTTCTTCATTTCTGTTTGGGTGCAAAGTCCCATAATAAACAATAAGAAAAATAATTCCAAGGAGAAGAGTAAGAGCTATAGTGATACTGATAGGTATAAAATAGTCTGAAGTAAAAACAGAAAGTGAGCAAACCCAGAGCACAATTAATATCCCCAATGTGGCCAGTACCCTTACAATATAATAACAAGACATTGGAAATTTGGTATTCTGTCCCTTAACATTAAAAAATGTAAAGATAAGGATGAATCCAACGACAATCCTGTATAAGAATTCCATACCTATGGAAGCACAAAACTGAGTTTGCTTTTTAAATGCCCACAAGATACCCAAAAACCAAAGCAATAACAACAGAAATACAGCAATCTTAACATTTAAGAATAAAAGAAGTACAACACTCAGCATCCAAGATAATAATGTAAACAATTTGTAAAAGAGATATGTGAGTTTGGGACAGAATCCATTAAGGAGATTTTTATCAGGCAAGGATTTTCTTAAAGCTACTTGATAATCAACAGTCGACCAAGAAATAGCACAGCATGAGACCACGATGGCTGCATCTGCAAAACAAAAAATTTCAAAAAGATATATTGTTATAGAAATAATAACAGCAATATTAATTACTATATGCCATACATGGCTTATCTGTATATACATACACCCACAAACACGTCAGGCACTTTATATGCTCATCTCACCTAATCCTTTGAAATAGATATTAATATTCCCATATTACATACGAGGGAATTGATGCTTGGAAAATATACATTACTTGACCCAGGTCATACAACTAACAAGTTGCAGAGAGCTGAGATCTGAGCCTAAATCTGCCTGATTCCAAAGTTGGTGTACTTAACCACTACATTAGACTGGTTTATAAGATTTTGAATAAATTCATTGGACAAATTTTATTGAGCAACCAGTATTGTGGAAACTGCACACTCTGGAAGTTCTCTAAGAGACTAGAGTTATAGTCCTAGCTTTTCCAGTCTTTTTGGCTTTGATCTTGGGCATATACCTAATTCACTAAGAGAAAGCATCAAGCGGGGGTGGGGGGGGGTAGGAAGGAATGGAGGAAGGGAGGTTAAACAGAAAATTTAACTTAAGTATGAGGTACCAACAAGTTCAATTTCACATATCTTTAAGATAATGGATCAAATGAGTAAATATGTTCTAAAACTTACACATTTCTGTAGGCTTGACATCTTTACCCCATTTTCCCCCCAACAAATAACAGAAGAGTAAGTTCATTACTACCTTGGAAAGGCATGTCGTTAGCCCCACTGTCAAAGCTGGGGACTTTTACAAAACTGAAAGCAAAGATATTAGAGAATGAGAAAGAAATAATTTAGAGCAGAATACAGAATGTTAGTCATTCTCATTTAGCCTCATTGGAGGTCTATATATTAGGACAAAGAGGCAGACAAGCTAGATTTACCTATTGAAGAGAATTATGAGGATTATAAAAGCCTCTGTCCACTCTACTGGTTTTAGCACATACCACTCTGGATCACACAATTAGTGGAACTTCTTGTCTTTTCTTTCAATTCAAAAATATTTGAATTAAAGCATTGCTTTCCCAGTAAATTTCCCCGTGATGTCTTTTTTATAACTGATTTTCATTTCTACCAAATTGACACATATACATAGTTTTAAAAAGTCAAAGTACTACAGAACTTATAAGAAAAAGAGCAGAACCTTGCTCTACCCCTCCTTACCTCTCAGTTGCAACCCCCATAAAAAATCACTATCAATTCTTCTAGCTTTTCTTCTGACATTTACTATCATATTTCTAAAGAAAACACATATTCTGCTATTTCTTAATTTATCTGCTTTAGACACTACTCATTGATTTCCTATTTGGGAAGAAAAAAATTCAGCACATATACACACCCTCCTTGCATTTTCCTCTCCCCCAATCTGCCCAAAAGAGTAACATCACAATTTTCGTAAAATCAATATTCAGTGTTTATCTTATTATGACTATATAAGTACAGCGTGTTTTTTTACTGCTCAGCCAAGTACTGCATTCTGATTATATTTTCTTTCTTTTAAAACTTTTCATTGTTTCCTTACTTGCTTATTTTTCATGACCCTATCAGCACAGCAGTCCCCCCTTATCAGCAGGGGATACATTCTAAGACCCCCAGTGGATGCCTGAAACAGCAGATAGCAATGAACCCTCTACGTACTATGTTTTTTCCTATACATACACACCTATGATAAAGCTTAATTTATAAACTAGGCTCAGTAAGAGATTAATGGCACTTTGGGGCCATTATTAAGTAAAATAAGGGTTACTTTAACACAAGCACTGTGATACCGTGACAGTCAATCTGATAACTGAGATGGCTACTAAGTAATCAATAGGCAGGTAGCGTATTCAGTGTGCTTACACTGGACAAAGGGATGATTCATGTCCTGGGTGAGACGGAGCGGGTTGGTGCAAGATTTCATTACCTACTCAGAATAGCACACAATTTAAAACTTATGAATTGTTTATTTCTGGAATTTCCCATTTAATATTTTCAGAGTGCAGAAAGCGAAACCATGGATAAGGGAGGACTACTATATTTCTTAGAAAACTCTTCAAATTAATTAATTAATAAAACTCTCCTACAGACATCTGTTAGTTCTTTTTTTTTTTTCCAAGAATATGATCTTCCTGCTCTAAGATTGTTGTTCTCAAGGTTTGCTTCCCATCTTTCCAGAACCTCCCTTCACCTCTTTTCTGTGGTGACTTCCTATTTCCTGTTCTCATATTTCTTTCTTGCTTTATTCTCATGTTTTGATCAAGAATTCTCCAGAGATTTCTGAGAAAAGTTGCACCTAAGCTAAATTTTTTGAGACCAGGTATGTTTCAAAATGTCTTTATTCTACCCTTATACTTGATACACGGTTTTGCTAGAAATAGAATTCAAAGTTAAAAAATGTTTTCTACTGAAACTTTGAAGTCATTGCTCTATTAAGTTCTAATTTCAGGTGTTATGGATAAGAATTTCCATGCCATTCAGTTTCTCTAACCTTAAGCAATCTTTTTTTCTCTTAAATCTTCTAGAATCTTATCTTTATCTTTGCTTCTCTGAAATGTTATAATGATGGGCTTGGTATGGGCCATTTTTCTTCACCCTTTCAATCTAATAACCCACGTCCCTCAGTGAGATGCTGTTTTTATTCTTTGGTGGTTTCTCTAGAAATAACAATATGCATATTAAACATATCCAAGTTTAAAGTTAATTAATGTTACCCAGAGGTGAATTTACCATGAAGGTAGTGAAGCTTAAATTTCAGAGACTCATGCTTTCCCAAGCTCCTTCCAAACCTGGCAAAGCCCTGGCAATGTGGTCACTTTGTCAGATATTTGTATAAAATTTGGAATAATAAGACATTTTAACTGCAGTTGATTAAATTCCCTATCTCTACTCCTACTTACTCTCTCTCACATTTTCCCGCAGTGTTTTGAAGCAGCTGTGGTCATTTTGGGGATCTGACCAAAGGAAAATTGAGTTGAGAATACATTTAGTTTAGGTTTAGGGGGATATGTTTACAAGATTTGCTTGAATAATTAAGACTAGTAAGTGACAGAGCTAGGATTCTCAGGCAGTTTGCCTGATCTTAACACTTCACTATATTGCCATCAATAGGCCTTAGATTCCTTAAAGTTAAGGCATGATGGTTGGTCTATCCTCATCCAGTTAACACTATTAGCTTGAAGCTATTTCCCATTTCCCACTTACCTACCTGCTTCCAACATATTTTTTCTGATCATTTTGGTAACCTAACCTGTACATTATTCTCTATCCAAACTAAATTCCTTGTCTTAGCCAAACCATGCCTTTGCTTATGCATTTCTCTCAGTCTGAAATGACCTTGCCCAATCACATCTAAAAAGATTCTTATTAATTTCTTTCTGATTTGACATTACTGACACCAGTGAAGAAAACATGACTCCCAATATTCACTAAATGAGCCACTGACAGTTAACTAGTGTTGTCAATTCAAACAGTATTTCAAATTAGTTATTTCATCCAAAAAAAATCTTGCTATCCTCTGATCTTACAGCATATTACTGAAGAAATTGGTAGAGTTTTTCCCAAATTGAAAACAATCCAAAAAATATAGATGATATTATCAATAATTTGTGAAGTTGGAAGAAAATTTTCTAAATTAAAAATAATAAGAAAACAAATTTCAATCAACTATGCTAGAAAAAAGATTGAATTTTTCTATTCTCTCTATGGAAATTGTAACATCATCATCAAATCAAAAGCCAGTCAGAGAGTATGCAGACAGAAAATTATTTTCTTTTTTTTTATTATTTTATTGTAGTCATATTGGCTTATATAATTGTGTAAATTTCAAATCTATATTATTATATTTCAGTTTCTATATACACTACATCCCTTATTTTTAAAAAAATGTTTATTTTCATACTTCCTGTGGACTAAATTGTGTTCCTCCAAAATTCATATGTTGAAGCCCTAAACTCCAATGTGACTGTATTTTGAGATAGGGTCTTTAAGGAGGTAATTAAGATTAAATGAGGTCATGAGGGTGGGGCCTGAATCTGATAGGACTGGTGTCCTTATAAGAAGAGGAAGAGATACCAGAGATCTCTCTCTCTCTCTCCACACACAGAGGAATGGCCATGTGAGGATACAGCAAGAAGGGGGTTGTCTGCAACCCACAGAGAGAGCCCTCACCAGAAACCATCTGTGCTGGCACCTTAATCTTGGACTTCCAGTCTCCAGAACTATAAAAAAATATATTTCTGTTGGTTAGGCTGCCCCAGTCTGTGGTATTCTGTTACGGCAGCCCAAGCAGCCTAACACAATCTCTAATTTTGTTTTCATAATATAATATTCTTTTTCTTAAATAGGGTCTATCTAATTTAATTTTATACCTCAAAAAATACAGACCCAGCTTTGCTTTACCTGTCTTCTGGCCTATACAAGGAATTTAAAACATTTTAACTCCATTTATCTTCCATCTGACTTACATGTTACTGCTGTCTTTTACTTTCATTGTATCTTTTTCTTTACCATATAGTATTATTTTTGTTTTATACAGTCAATTTTCATTTAGATTTACTCACATATTTACTACTTTCTTTGCTCTTTATTCCTTCTTGCATCTCAGAACACTTCTGTCTGAAGTATATAGTAGTGATATGGATTTCTACTACTTCTGCTGTAGTATGGATTTCTTTCTACATAGTTGCTTATGAGATGATGGGCTTCTTAAATCTGTGGGTAGGTCACTCTCATTAGTTCTGAAATTTTTTCAGCTATTAACTTTTCAAATGCTGCCTCTGCTCCATTCTTCCTCTCCTCTCCTTCACGAACTCTGCTCAGATGTATATTAGACTTTGTCATCCCATTTGCCATGTCTCTTAATATCTTTTTCATATTTTCCATCTCTTTGTCTCAGTAAACTATAATCTGGATAATTTCTTCTGACTTAGCATTGACTCACTCATTGTATATACAGTTCTCTCTCATCTGCTGAGTTTTTAACTTCAATTCTTAAATTTTTTCATTCTCATAAATTCTACTTTTTTCTTTTTCAAATATACAACTCATTTTTTTTATAGTTTCCTATTCCGTATTTTCAAGTTCACCATTTACTTCTTTCAGCATAATAGGATGCATGTGTTATACTTTGCATCTGGTAATTTCCAATATCTAAAGTCTTAACAAGTTTTTTTCTTTTTCTGCTGATTCTTACTCATGGTGCCTGATTTCTTTTGGTGCTATGAACCACTGTAAACCACTCATTTTCCTTGGACAACCATTTGTAAAACTTATTTGAGGCCTAAGAAAAGGCAGATTCCTTCAGGGAGGATTTATACTTGTTTCTGCCAGACCCCTAGGGGCACTATCAGTCTGGGAACACTTTAAAATATATTCATAGCTTGGTCTTCATTAGTTTGTTTTTTGGGTCTTTTGTTTTGCTTTGTTTTTTGAACTAGCCAAAGACATGAATTTTGGTTGCAAATCATATTGTTATAACTTCTCAGGGTTGTTTTTTCCTGCTCTACCCAGCAGCAAGGCAATATTCCTTGTAGACTCTTGGAAGTGGAGAGTGAGGTAGATAACTTCACTTTTACCCTGAGGAGGGTGCGTTTTGGCACACCAGCTTTACAGATTAGGATTTTCTACCAGACATCCCTCCCTTGTGAGGACCCTGAGTTTTGTCTTCAGTCCTCCATACCCTGGGAAGCCATCAAAACTGAATCTGCTGTTTATAAAGTGCAGTACAGACCCCCAGGGTATAAATGCCTTCAGGGCCCTACTTAACCCTGTTGCGCTCCCACTTTCACACATATTTTGGCCTGTTGCATCAGACTGCTTTATGCTTTTATGGAGGCTTTTGAAAATATTTATCCAATTGTTTCAGATATTTTCAGAGGGAGGATTGATTCAAATAATTTAGCCTTTCAGGGGTAGAGTTGATTTGAATAACCTAAGTTTTCCATTTACTTTCCATCTTCTAAACATTTGTTGATATTTCTAATCTGATATTCTACTCTGCATTCTCTTTGTTCTCGTGGGTTTATATTGTCTTTATTCCTTTACTCTCCTTTGTAGTGTGATTTCAGGAAGGAGCAAAGATAAAAGAATATGTTCAGTCTTCTGAAGTATTTCTATATATAACCTGATTTTTTTTTTACATTTTGAATTATTCTTCCTGATTGTCAAAATAATACATGGTTACTGTAGAAAATTGGGAAATTCAGAAAAGTATAAAGAAGAGAAATCATTTATAATCATTTATAATCCCACTACCCAGAAGCAGCCACAGTTGACATTTTTGTGTATTTTCTTCCAGACATTTTCCTACATAATAATTTCTTTATATCCTTAAAAGCATGCTGATAGAAAATTTTATAAACTGCTTTTTGCCTACGTTTTATTTTAGAATTACTTTCCTCTGTCATTAAAAGTTATCTGTGAATACTATTTCTAGTGGCTACACAATTTTTTATACCATCTACAATAACATTTACCAATTCTTCTATTGTTAGACAATTAGATCGTTTCTCATTTTTTACTATTTTTAACTAACACCTCAACTTCTTACTTCAAGGAGAAAGTAAAGGGTGAGGATAGAACCATAACATAAAGATAGCTGTCACTGGGTCCCATTGTTGGTCCAGATCCTATGTACTACTTGGAATCATCAGCAGATCTACCATAGTACAGGCTATAAACTCTAAATGTTGAACTTCTAGCTTCAGGAACTCTATAACACAGAACTTTCCAGTTCCAACCCACAAAATCTTTGCATCACAAAGAAAAAGATGTCTCATACACAGTAGGTTCATTTCAGTGTCTTACTAACAATCAAAGCATGGGTAAAAATATTAGAAGGGGCTACGGTATAGAGATTTATGGGAAATTGGGACCAGGGAGACTGTTTAGGGGAGTGAACTGATCTCACAGGTGAGTCTAGCATAGAGGGAACTCCAGGGAAGACGACAATTTGCTCCTGTGAGATGAACCCAAGTCTGCATGGAACCCTAGTTATTAACGAAAATTGGGACTATTATTTAGCAAATAGTGTTTTTTAACATCTCAAATTAAACATCTATTAAAAGACTTTTTTTTCAAATGGAAATACCAAATTGTCTTTTAAAAATAAACATTTTACAGGCTGGGCCGGTGGTGCAAGCGGTTAAGTGCACGCGCTCCGCTGCAGCGGCCCGGAGCTCGCTGGTTCGGACGGATCCCAGGCGTGCACCAACACACCGCTTGTCAAGCCATGCTGTGGCCGTGTCCCATATAAAGTAGAGGAAGATGGGCTGGCCCCATGGCTTAGCAGTTAAGTGCGCGTGCTCCACTGCTGGCGGCCCGGGTTCGGATCCCGGGTGTGCACCGACGCACTGCTTCTCGGGCCACGATGAGGCCGCGTCCCACATACAGCAACTAGAAGGCTGTGCAACTATGACATACAACTATCTACTGGGGCTTTGGGGGAAAAAAATAAAATAAATAAAAATTAAAAAAAAAATTTAAAGTAGAGGAAGATGGGCATGGATGTTAGCCCAGGGCCAGTCTTCCTCAGCAAAAAAAAAAGAGGATTGGCAGATGTTAGCTCAGGGCCGATCTTCCTCACAAAAAATAATAAAAATAAAAATAAACATTTTACCCTAATGAGGAAATCTACTATTAAAAAAAGCAACATATTGGCCAACTTGCAAGACTTTCATTAGTTTTGTAGCATTTGCACTTTGACCCAATGATTCCAATTCTGGGAATTTACTCTACGGATATACTTCACACATGCAAAATGATGCATGCATAAGATTATTCACTGCAGCATTTTTTTTTCTTTGGCAATAGTAAAACATTAGATACAACCTAAAATAACATAAATAGGAGGCTTGTTAAATAAATCATGATACATTCATAATTTGTAATAGTATGCAGATAATAAAAATGAATGTGGGAGCTCTTTCTGTACTGATATGGAGAAATCTCCAAGATATATTGTTACGTGCAAAAATCAAAGAGTTTTTATGTTACCACTTCTGTAAAAGAAAAAAAGAATATAGGCTTTTAAAAAATTTTCTGAAAGAACCATCAAAAATTGACAATAATAGTTTCTGAGCAGATGAAGGAAAGAATGGGAAGAAGGGGGAAGGAGCCAATGTATCTTTACATATTTTTTGATATTTGAACCATGTACTTCTTTTCAAAAAAATAAATAATTCTAAGAAGAAAAACAATTTAAAAAATTCTAAAACTGCCAAAGAGTTACATAGTTGACATAAGATCTCAGTGGCATCCATTTAACACAGGGTGCTAAGAAAGACTTACACTGACTGAAATTTGCTTGGCCATGTCCCAGAAAGGTGTAGAGCTGAAGAACAAGTTGTGGGCAGCCTTCCAGGTAGGTCTCAAAAAGCCTGAGCATGCTCAAATCAGTCACTCTATCTATAACTTCTTTATGTGGATCAATTTGTTCTCCCATGAAGTTATCAGTTTTGCTGCTATATTTGAAAGCCATATGATAACCCTTTTTCAAGACAAACCAATACCTGCAAAGCAAACACGAACATTCATCTTCAGTAATATATTCTTTATAACATGTATGTTAATATACATAATATGAAAAAGCAATTCAATTTAATCCAGCAAATAATTACTCAATATCTACAACATGCGAGGCTCTTTGATCATTACTATCTGAAAAAATATATAAAATATCCAAGTTTTTTTTTTGGTGAGGAAGATTAGCCCTAAGCTAACATCTGCTGCCAATCCTCCTTTTTGCTGAGGAAGATTGGCCCTGGGCTAACATCTATGCCCATCTTCCTCCACTTTAGATGTGGTATGCCTGCCATGGCATGACTTGATAAGCAGTCTGTAGGTCCGCCCCCAGGATCCAAATCCACGGACCCCTGGCCACTGAAGCGGAGCACGCAAACTCAACCACTACACCACCAGGCCGGCCCCAAAGATTTTTTTTAAAGAAAGGCAGACTGCCACATGCAGTGCCTCATTTGGATGTGTCTGGAGTCTTGGAAGTTTGACTACCTACCCTACGTTCTCCTACAAATGGACCTTTAGAGCTTGTCTAGAGGTCCCAGCAGGGGAGCGCAGCTACTCGTATACCCTTGACTGAAGAACAGTCCTCCTCCATCAGGGAAGGTGTCCTCTTTGACCGGAGTGCGCAGCTTCAGGAGGGATGCACGTGGAGCAGTGAGGGAAAAAGGGGTCACCCACCTAGCCAGCCAGCTTAGCCAAAGCAAAACTGGTAATCAGTTTTGCCCTCACATCCCAAAGACTCTTAAAACATCCTTGCTCAGGGTCTTCTTTTGAAATAATTTAAAAATGAACATGAGTTATCAACATGCAAGAAAATTTAATAACAAAAAAAAAATTGACACATTTATTTAGAAGAAATCTGAGGCCAGCAATAAGGCAACGAGGATTCTATCCCAAAGCTTACCAAAACTCTTTATCTACACCTCAAGTTTCCTCAAATATAAAATAAAGGCCGTGATATATATCCTGTCTCAACCCGATCCTTCTGTCAATGTTTCCCATTTCACTAAATGGTACTAACACTCACCATGATGCTCAGACAAAAACATGGGTATAATTTCCAACTCCTTTCTTATTCTCATACCCTACAAAAATTCCTCAGGAGTTTCTCTTGTCTCTTGGTTCTAACCTCAAATATATCCAAATCTAAACACGTCTTACCACTTCCACTGCCTCCATCCTAGTTTAAGTAGCCAACATCTCCGGCCCTGATTACTTCAATAGCCTCATAATTGGTCTCTCTGGTTCAGTTCCTGTTCCCTATACATCCTATTCTGTACACAGCATCTAGAATGAACTTGCTAAACATAATTCAGATGTCACTCCTCTGCTCAAAATGTTCCAATGAGTTCCACCAAACTTAGAATAAAGCCCACAGTCCTTACCATATTTTACAAGGCCCTCCATAATCTGCCTCCCACACACACGACCACCACTAGCTTTCCATCTCATTTCTCCCACACTTCCAGTGTACCCTTCTTGCTGTTTTTCCCAACTTAAAGGCCTTTGTCTTTGCTACTCCCTCTGCCTGGAACTCTTCTAAACCCCAGAAATTTTACAAGTTTACTTCTTAACTTCATTCAGGTCTCTACTCAAATACCACTTCCTCAAAGAGGTCTTTCCAGATCACACCATCTAAAGTAATATTCTCCATCATATTCTATCTCTTTATCCTATGTTATTTCTCTTCTTCACCACTTGACACATTATTTATTTTTATCCTTGCCTTCTCATAAAAATAAAATCTACATGAAAGCAGGGACTTTGTTTTCTTCATTGCTATACGCTAAGCAACTAGAACAGTACCTGGCACATAGTAGGTTCTCAGAAAATAAATAATGAATGAATAAATGAAAGCTCATGACATTTTTTCCATAAAGAGATAGTAGATATGAAAGGACTTCGAAAAGTTGACTGTAAAAACAAATATAAGATATTCCTATTGTAAACAAGATGTACATATATATGGATATGCAAAGATTCCTCATCTGGTAAATAGAAGTATATTCTTTTTTTTTTTTTTTTTGAGGAAGATTTACCCTCACCTAACATCCACCGCCAGTCTTCCTGTTATTTTTTGCTTGAGGAAAATTACCCCTAAGCTAACATCTGTGCCAATCTTCCTCTATTTCATATGTGGGTTGCCGCCACAGCATGGCTCATGAGTGGTGTAGGTCCACACCCACAATCTGAACACGGGCCACCGAAGCAGACTGTGCCAAACTTAACCACTAGGCCACAGGGCCAGTTCCTAGAAGTATATTTTTACTACCATAGTTTTAGAATAACAACGGTCCATTTATATTCAATGTGGGCTAGATGCCAGGGTAGAATGTCTACAAAAATGATGAAGGCATGATCTCCACCTTTAATGACCTCAACCTAATAAGAACACCATCCTATTAAGCACTAGCTGAAAAAATAACCACTCAAAAGAAATGTAAATACTATGTTGTGAAAGTACAGAAGAAAAAAAATTATTTACACTCTCTAGGATTTTTAGGCAAGATTTATAGGGGAATTTGTGTTTGAGTCTTTTCTGGGTATCTGGCTCAATAGGGAGTTCCTGTATGTATGTTGTATAATACTATTACGTAACACAGTATGTGGCTGCTGTTCTTAAAGTAGATTATAAACCAATAGGATAGATACCACTAATTGAAAAACTTGAAAAATTCACAAATATTAACAAGTACAAACCCAGAGCATAATTAGTATAAGCAGCATAGACTGGGAGAGGTAGCAGAGCATAGTCATTAAGAGTGCAGGTTCTAATAAAGCCAGAATGCCTAGGTTCAAATCCTGGCTCCATCACTTCCTACTTAATCTCTCTGTGCCACAGTTTCCTCATCTGAAAAACGAGGACAGTCATCATACCTACCTCATTGGGTTGATGGGAGGATTAAAGGAGTGAATACAGGTAAAATGCTTAGACCAGTACCTGGCACATGTTAAGTGCTATATAGGTACCTGTTAATTAAAAAAAAAAAAAGATAAGCCTGTTTACAGATGTGCACATTAACATTTCCAGTGACTTTACAGAGAAATATTTCTCAATTCTGTAGCAATGAATGGCAAATCTATAGAAAATTCTGCTTATATGACAATCATTTCATGGGAAAGTATGAATATCATTTTTTTAATCAATAGGATACTGTTTCAGTTTTATGGGACAAATGATGAAGAAGCCAAAGAAAAAGAAACAGAAGGAGCTTTCTTAGCATACTTTATCACAATATATTCTTTTATTTGAGATAAAAAGGCACCAGCTTCCAGTAATGATGGATTGCCTTGTATCATGCTAACCCTCCTACTGATGACAATGATAAATTCTAGACAAAATATAACTGAAAACAAGGCACAGAAGAGAGATCAAAAGTAGGAAGAAACATGAGGGCATTCAACCCTTGAAAGAAGGGAACCATACTGCATGAGAAACATTTATCTGGCTTTACCTCTGAAGGCATCCCACAGTCCAAATGGCACAAAGCAAATGCAGCTCAAGCAGAAAGTCAAAATATTACTGGCCGAAATAGAAGACTGAGTTTGAATCTGCTGGAAAGGTTAGAAATTAAAGAGAGATCCCAGAAAAGAGGGAACTGCAGAGTAGAGAATGCCAAAATCTGCATATACTCTCCTCAAATCCTTGGCTGACCCCTTATTATGCATACGTGGAGTGAGACTTCCAGGAACGGATGAAAAATGATGAGAAGGAACCTAAGCAGAGATTTTCGCAGCTGTCTACCACAGGGAAGAGTTAGGAGTTTGAGTTCCACCAAATTGGAGGGGCTTGGTAAATACTTCAGGCATTCCACTGATACCCCAAAAGGGCCATACTTTAGGAGTAAAGACCATATTTCCGGTCTAAGAGATTTTTCCTAGGATTAAGGACAAAAGCAAAATAGGTCTTCCCTAACAAAGCCTCAACCAAGCCTCTGTAATACATTAAGGTAATTTGCCAATTATTTAACTTTCTGCTTTCTCTTCAATAGAAGATAACAGAAACTAGTCTCTATAAGGTATAAATCACAATGTCCACTATACAATAAAAAAATCACTTGACACACAAATAAACAAGAAAACGCGACTTATAGTGAAAAAAAATCAGTTAATAGAAATATATCAGTCAATAGGAACCCCCACAGATGACCCAGATGCTGAAATTAGCAAATAAACTAAAGCACAGAGAGAAAAAAATTTGGGGAAAAAATTAACAGAACCTTAATAAATAACACTGCTGTAATTGAAATCTCAAAAGAAAAAGAGAGAGAGAATAGAGCAGAAAAAAAAACTTGACTATATACTGGCCAAAAATATTTTTAAAATTTGAGGAAAATAAACAACACACAGATCCAAAAAGCTCAATGAACCCAAACAGAAAAAATACAAACAAAACCATTCATAGGCCCGTCATACTCAAATTGCTGAAAATCAAATATAAGAGAAAATATTAAAAACAGACAGAAAGAAAAGACATATTCCACACTGAGAAAAAATGTTAACTGACTTATCAGAAACAACAAAAGTCAGAAGACAACTATATCAATAATTACATGAAATGTAAATGGAGTAAACACTTCAATTAAAAGAGACTGTCAAACTGGATAAGCAAAAATTATCAAAACTAAAGGGAGAAAAATTTTTGATGATTTTAACACTCACCTCTCAGTGATTGAAAGGAAAAGTTGGCCAAAAAAATCAATAAGGATACAGATTTTAATAACACTGTCAGCCTAATTGCCCTATTTACATTTATAGAACACTACACTCAACTATGGCAAATTACAAATTCTTTTCAAATGCACATGGAATATTTACCAAGTCAGACTGTACGCTGGGCCATAAAACAAGTCACAATAAATTTAATTGTAATCATATAAAGTATGTACTCTGATCAAAACAAAAATTAAATGAGAAATCAACAATAAGATATCTAGGGAAATCCTCAAATATTTAGAGATCGAGGTAAAAGGCCCAGATCCTAAAGTTT